AGCACTGTCTTCTTAAAAATAAAAACAAAAATACTAATGAACCCCGGATTATGCACCCAACGTGTTCTTTTCTATTTTCTGCATACCTACGCACTTATATATATATATATATATATATATATATATAGATAATATTAGTGGTCAATATATATTTATATACATAAGTTCCCAAGAGGATAGAATCCAGGTAGAACTCAATGTCCAGGACAGAGTAAGAATATAATATAAAAGGCTCAAACATGAATATTCCATGGTTATAATTTATTACAGTGGAATCGTAATCGCAATCCAATTCATCAGACCTACAAATCCAAAAATTTTTTAATTTGTAGGCCTGATAAATTGGATTGTGATTATGATTCCAATATAATAAATTATAACAGTGGAATATTAGTGTTTGAGTCTTTTATAATATATATAAATATATATATATATATTGCAAAAATTTGGTATATCTATAGGAGAATGATAGATGGTTTGTTTAGAGAGAGAGACAGTGTGGATATTGGAATCAAAACTACATGATGACTGTCAGTTTTATGCATTAATGTGATCTTCAGACCAAGTCTGTGTATATATGATAAAAATAGTTTTAAGGAATGCTATAATTAAAGATAAAAGTACTCAATATAAGGGATAGAGTGTATGTAAATATAAAATATAAAAGTGGAAGATGAGATTATCACCAAACGGTAATTTTAATTGACCTCCTGATTTTTAAAGTGAAAAGCTCTACGTGTTATTTTTACTTTTACTTATATTTTTTTCTCACGTGTATTGATGAGCACTTTTTAATACTACTGTTTCCTGGTCTGATTCAACTCTGACCATTAACCTTTATATATATATATATATATATATATATATATAATTTATTCGAAATATACTTGGGTATATATATACATAGTGAAAGAGAGAGAGAAATACACTTAGATATCTACATTTAAGCACATACATACATACATACATACATACGATAACTGGAAGTGACCCTTTAAACACTACCTATTAAATTCTTGTATTAACTTATGTACTCTATGTTAAATATTAGGAAGTAGGAATTCTTCTGATGGTAGTAAAATTTGATTACCCAAGATTGGATATGCTGAATCGTATATAATGATTATGTATAGAGTATACGGCTGACCTATATACATATATATGTGTGTTTCTCCTCATGCATACCTACACTAACACTTACATGCATACATACCCCAGCACTCACATATATCCACATATGCATCCAAATTTAAGAACTTCTTTAATCTTCTGTATCCTGTATCTAATTAGCTCAGAGATTATCTAATCATTTATTATTATGTCATAACCCCTTTGGTGGAGATTTAATGCCCACATGTACTGGCTCAAAAAAAAAAAAATATATATATATATATATATATATATATATATATATATGTGTGTGTGTGTGTGTGTGTGTATGCAAAAGAATTAATGAATTAATTTTTATTAGTTCAAATGTTATTATAGTAGATACTCCATATTTGAAATAGATCCCTGTTTTGTTTATTGAACAGTCTGTGTTATGTCTAACAGCCTTCACATTCAAGAAATTCAAGTAAGTAAAATTGTATTCTCTGGCAGGGATTGAAACTGCATCCAGTTTAGTTGGGGAAAATCACCATTTGATCTCATAAGGCACACAGTATCAGACGGTAGTTTCCCCCTACAAATATAGGGGTAGACTGTTCTCATTTGACCACCCATGTTTAGAGATATCTTGTCTAGCTGATATGAGAACAGTATGACTCTGTAGATTAAATAAAGGGTTCAGTTTGGAATTTACCCAGATCGATATGCTCCTGATGAAGACTGACAGGTACAACGATTGAAACATTGTCATAACAACCCAGATGAGGACAATAGTCTGCATGTAAATAATAATAACAACTCCTCATCCCAGAAATTCAGACAGATTAGTTTGGTGCCTATTTCTAAATGCTTCGGTATGCAGCATCATGACAGTTTAAGTCCATTTCAAGCACTAGTAGCTTTGAATAACTATCTTACTCTTAAGTGGGTGTTTGTGCATCTCAGTTTTCAACTGTTTTCATTTGCAGAGTGAAAGTCAAAGATTTCCATATGTTCCCTTGGCAGGTTGCACACTGTGTGCAACTAATTTGGTTGGATTCTATCTGGTTGGAAAGAAAATTCTGGCAGTTTATTTCCAACCAAATCTGATGAACTCTTGTAAGGAATTGTGAAAGTTATAATATTTCATGGTCATGACACATTGAATAATTTTTGCCTTATTTATAATTTTTACATTTGGGCAAACATATTTTCTTATGCATAATAATAAAATCTATTTTTACACTTTTATAGTGTTTTGACTCCAGTTTTGGGGGTTAACTATTTGCCCATAGTTGGGACCCTAACAAGTGTTACCACTCTAGGTCAGGTGGGGACTTGCAAACCCCAGCAATTAAGAGGTGGTTCCATGTTCCTCAAAACCTTCTGATCAGAGGCCTTGCTGTCTGATGTAGTTTATCGTCTTACCTGGGACACAGATGCCACAACCAGGACTGTAATACATCTTGTTTCTGAAGTTAAAAACAGGGAATAAGTATTTTTTTTTTTATAGTTGTGCCATATTATCCCAATGTTATTGATATGTCCCAGAAAGGAATATATTTGTTCGAAGTAGCAAAGTGGTTTGGGACTACTGTAACCAAGTAGGACAATCTAGCAGGTAACCGTAATGGACTGGTGCTCGTCATAGTGGTAGGCAATAGGCGAAGACAATAGGTGCCGTCATGTACCTCCACATCATTCTGTATTTATGGCTGACACCAGCCAATCATATTACTGTGAGGGAGAACCAGGTGTAAGCATATTCATTACATCAGTTATATATATATATATATATATATATATATATATATATATATATATATTTCACTAAAATATTTAATTTTTCATGATATAAAAGAATAAAAATGAATCACATGCTTAGCCATGGCATGTTTCTTCTCCAAATTTCTGCTTGAAAACTTATTTTCAAGTTTTCAGGGAAATGTGCTAACTTGACATACCTGATAATACATTTTAAGATGTTAATTAATCTATCATACTTTTCTGTTTGATATGACTTTATAGATTGATTCATTCATTTTCTACAGCTCATCAACACTTAAAAAATTATTAAAAGCCAGAAAATATTTTTAGATTGTAATAATTTTTTTTTTTTGTGATAATAATGATTTAGTAATATAATATAATAATAAGCTGAGGGTGGAGAAGAGGTGGATTCATACCTAATCAGAATTTAATAAACAGACAAAAAATTATAATGTGTATATAAAGTTAGGGATCAATTCTATATTACAGTCAATATATAAATTGATGCCTCACTTTGTGGTCATGATAGTTTTTATACACTATGCCTGTGTAGCTAATCAGTTTTTTTGTGATAATAATGATTTAGTAATACAAGTCTTACTAATAACTAGCAGCATGGCCCGGCATTGCCTGTGCTTGATTCAAAAATCGTACAACTCATACAGCAATCGCTATCACTTGACTTAAAATATTTTTGTCCTTCCTTGCCTTTAAAGGAGTGCCCTTTGCCGTGCTGATGTTGCTAAATGCCTTACTTCTTGCCTATCTCACACTGCTAATTTTTTCTAAGCTCTATACTAAACATTAAATCTGTTACAAAAAAAGAACTAAGCAAAATGAACACAAAATGATCAGCTTTAAAAAGGACTCGTAACTGGAAAAACCGAATGAAAAAAGAATGTTAACAACAAATACATTTTCACACCCAACCCAGTTCTGCGGAATCAGAATCAACGTTGAGTTTAAGTGTTTAATGAGCCAATTGAAGTAAAGTACCATGCAGATTTAAATTTTTCCCACTTGTGACAAATGCAGCTATCGATTTTTTTTGCATGCTAGTTAACATTCATGTCAGTCAGCTGTTGGTTCTCACACTGGCCAATAGAATCTTCCTGCTTATTCGTGGCAGCCAGCTATAGGCTCTCACTCTGGCCAGTAGAAAATGGGCGCAAACTACATGAAAACTGCCGTAGAAGCATGAAAAAATAGATTATTTCCACTATCGATGGAAGTTGGGAAATGCATAGGTCGGTCTTGGCCTTTCCGCTAACTTGGAGCATGTGCATGTAAATTTTGGTGCAAATCCGTCGAAAATTGCAGCCGTGCATTCATTAGACACACACACACATCCTGCCTTTTATAGATAGAGATAAAGAAAAGGAAGTTATGGAAAGTTATGACTACTTATGTCTTAGAGGCATCCAAATCCAAGTGGAAAAGCCTTCTCATTCCAGTTGGAGGAACCTCTCCCTGATTGACCATATCTTCAATTGTTCATTGGTGAGGCTATATAATTCATAGTCAAGGTTTTGAATTCAGAGTTCTCCTTCTCCTCGGCCAGTTGCCACGCAATGCTAGAGAACCTAGTAAGTCCTGCATAGCTGGGGCATATGGTACTTAAAAGATGAAGAAATGACTGACCAAATTTGGCAATTAAAATTAAGCAGAGTAAAAAATAGCTGTTATATATTAACCATAATTTATATCTAAATCATATGGAAAAAATTTAGTCATTAGATTATAAATTTTTTTCTATGATATATATGCCTCAAATCACATATGAATAGAAAAATGTTAATTTTAAGTTGAAACAAATTCTTTCTATGGGTTAAATAGCGAAGTCGTTGGGCTCTCTAGCCATGAGTAACAGCCAGTCTAGGAGAAGGCCAATTCTGAATTTAGAAGGCAGCAGGAAACTCCTTCCCAAGAATGCATGGTAATTCACAGATATTAAAGAAAAGGAAGCTGTGGCTAGCCATGACTGAAAGTTTATGGCATTTAAATGAAGAAAAATATGAAGAAATAATAACCCAAAGGCTGGCAATTGAAAGTAATTTGAAAACAAAACAGATGTAGTATATTATCTATCATACATATTAAAAAAGATAATTTATTTAATGCTTTAAAAATCTACAATATTTATGCATCAAATCAATCGTAAACAAACAAAGGTTGATTTGAATTGAAACAAATTCTTTCTTTATTGGCCATTACTTTATTTACAAAATCTAAAAGGTAACATTTTTATCAGTTGAGTCATCCCACCTGCTTTAATTTTGCACTGAAAGACCAGTAGCAAAACAGATAAAGAGGGAGATAGATGTATATTTGATGAAATTCTAGGGCCATATTTATGACCATAAACCCCATTCCAAAACACCTGGATCTGCTGACAGGAATTTGCCTCCAATTCAGCTATAATTTATCTTTTTCTATTTTGTAATATTCTTTTACTACTCCCTGCTAATTTTAACCTCTTTCTGTGTCTTTCTTCTTCTAACCTTTTTTTTTCCTCCCCTCTTATTTTCTCATCTCTTTCTATTTCAAGCTCTCTTCCCCCACCATTTATATTCCTCTTATTTTCTCCTCACTTCCTGTTCTAGAGCTTTCTCCTATTTCTTTTCTCCTCCCTTTTCTACAGACTTCTCTTCATTTTTCTCCTCTTACCACTATTTTCTCCCTAACTTTCTATTCTGTAGATTTCTCCTCCTTCCTATACATCACTTATTGCTATTCTCTTACTATACTTTCCACTTCCTCTTTTTACTTCATTTGCTTTTCTCTTCTCTTTTTATTTTGTAATATTTTCCTCCTCTTCTTTCACACTTTTCTTTTCTCTCTTTTCTATTCTGTAGCTTCATTTTTCTCCTCCTACTCTCCCCTTGTATTTTCTTTTTCAGCTATAGCTTTGTTACTTACTTTATTACTTATTTATATCATTGATCCAAGCAGACAACCAAATGTGGAGTTTATTGCATAAATACAGGGTCTATTCAATGACAGTCAAATGACTACAGGGAACAAAAAAAAAGAAAAGCAATTATTATTACAAATAAAAAAGAAAGAATAAGAAAAACAAAAGAGAAAGAAAAGAAAAGGGTAAAGAATAAGAGAAGGAGTGGGGAAAAAAGAAAGAAGTGGGAAAGAGTAATGGAAAGAAAGAGGAAAGAGTAAAACAAAGAAGGGGAAAGAGTAAGAGAAAGAAGGGGAAAGAGTAAGAGAAAGGTGAGGGAAAGAATAAGAGAAGGGTGAGGGAAAGAGTAAGTGAAAAGATGGGGTGGGCAAAAAGTAAGAAAAAGAATGAGGTGGTCAAAGAGTAAGAGAAAGAATGGCAGGAAAGAGAGAAAAAATGAGACAAAGAATAAGAAAAGGAAAAGGGAGAAAGAAAGAAAGGTTAAGAGAATAAAAGAAGAAAAGGGAAAAAATAAAGGTGAAAAGAGAAAGAAAAAAGAAAAATAGATGAGAAAAAGAAAAGGGAAAGCAAAAAAGCTTCCTGCAAATAAACAGCCGGAATATATGGATCCTACATAAAAGAACCTTTTTCTGATAATTACCATCTCTTTAGAGAATAGATATTCCTGTAGAGATGCAATATAAGTTCACATTTTTCTTATAGAGAAACTATTTTATAGAAACAATATAGAAGTGGCTATGTTGCAAGCATTGTAGTGAATGATTTGAATATTTCTTTTAGATGTCATTTTATAGCTTGCACTTTTAAGAGACAAAGATCCACTTTTTTTCCATATTATATACTTGGAAAGGGATGTAAAACAAGGATATGTCTTCTCACTGGATTTATTCAACCTATACAGTGAGGCAATTTGGAGAGAATTAGAAGTCATAACAGGAATCATTATTGGCATTAACAGCATAAGATATTTAGATGACACAGTGTTGATAGCAGAAACTACAAGAACTTTGACAGAAGGTAGTAAAGGAAATTGAGAAGAAAGGACTAATCATCAATTGCAAGAAGATATACTGTATTTGATGGTGTATAAGACACACCCCAATTCCAGCAGGGTGCATCAAGAAAAAATTAGTAAAATTATTAGCAAATGGTACAGCCTAGGCTATATTCATGAGGTATTGGTTAAACAAGCCATGATTACAATTAAACAAAAAAATAATATGAAAAAAGAACATGAGCCTATAAAAACTTCATTATATCCTTTATATGATCTATACAACCTGCATCTTGTTAATGTCTTACTGAATAACTGATAACTGACATCCATTAAAACATGGCATGTTGAACTAGAACAGTCTACCCCAGTGAGCGAAATAAAGGGTTAAGTTCGACATTCCAACCACCTGAAGAAGGTTGGAGTGTACAACGGCCAAAACGTTGTAATAAATATGGTGACAAAAATGAGGACAATAGTTCGAATAATGTAAATAATATGAATAATTAGGATATAAAAATTCTGATTGTATTTATACCAGTGCAACTGGAAGTTATTGCAAGAAAAATATTAATGAAACAAATATATTTTACAAATATATAATTTGAATTTATTGCATATAATTTTAGTGAAACAAATTACTAATATTAAATGTGATGAAATTAATATAATGAATATTATCAATGATAACACTTTAATCTGCATAATAGCTTTTTAAATAATGACATTATAGGTATATGAAAGTTACTCTAAAGTCTAAGCTAATAGGAGTTGCCAGGTAGCTAATTTCAGCAGACTATCACAAATTTTAAACTTTCATATGGCATATAAGACACGGAAATTTTAAAAGATATTTTTAGTTAAAAAAGGTGCACCTTATATGTCATCAAATATGGTAATTTATGTTTGTCACCAAAAACAATCTAACAAGGAAATTCAAAATTAGAGAGAATTTTTTTAATTTTCTAGAAAGGGGTATGAGACAAGGATGTCTTTTCTCACCAGACTTATTCAACCATAACAGTCAGGTAATTCTAAGAGAATTAGAATTCCTACCAGGATTTATTATCATTAATATTCATTGTTATTATTTTAACAACATAAGATATGTAGATGACACAGTATTGATAGCAGATATAGAAAGGAAACTACAAGAACACCTACAGAAGGTAGTGAAAGAAAGCAAGAAGAAAGGACTAAACATCAATTGCAAGAAGATAGAATCATGGTTATTAGCAAAAGAAACAGCCTGACATGAAAAGTACAAACTTGAGATACCAAAATCAAACATGTACAACAATTGGGAAGTGCTTTAACAGAGGACGGAAAGTGCAACTTCAAAATCTGAAGCTGCAATATGATAGTAAAAGGTGCCTTCCAAAAGCTAAGCATTAAGAAACAGGAAAAATTTCATTCAAAACAAAGGAAAACAGTATTGGAATGTTATGTAATGTCAGTCCTCTTATATTACTGTGAATGTTGGACAATCTCCTCATGGGTGAAAAAGAGACTTCAAACAACAGAAATATGTTTCTACAGAAGAATGCTGAGAATACCATGGACAGAACATGTGAATAATGAGGAAGTTTCAATGAAAATATAAACAAAAACGATGCTTATACTTAAAAATGAAAAGAAATAGATAAAATTTATAGGACCCAAAATGGGAAAAGAGGGCTTGAAGAATATGAAACTCACAGGATATATTCAAGGCAAGAGGGAAAGAGGAAAACAGCCAGTAAACTACCTAACAATTTTGTGGAAATAGATTTGCAGAAAAGAGAAGGAATGTATGGTGTAAAGACAAATCTTAGTAAGAGCTACAAAAGATAGGAAATTGTGAAGAGTTATATTTGCCCATGTCAGGACCTTTTGACATGATGTAATGGGTAACATCTTGTCTCACTAGATCAATTATGACATATTACTGAGTTTGATCCTCCCTGAGTGCTCCATATTTTGGGGCTTGTGCCATATCTAAGCTATGCCTAGTATATTAACATATTCACCAATATTCTGCAGGGACACAACATTTAATGTAAAAGTATCTTTAAAATAGACACAGTTACTCGATAACCTTCATATCTCATACATCTTTCTTTGGTAAAAACAAAGAAAGAAAAAAGATTAAGGTTATATCATTATAAGTCTGTTAACTTCCCTAAATTCCAAACTTGGGTGACCTGTGACTTCTGGTTGTTTACAAAGCTAAAATCACAAAAATTGCATGAGATTAAGGAGAACACAGTGTAACAGCTGATAGCAATCCCAAAAGTTGACTTTGTAGATTGTTTTAAAAAGTGAAAGGACACTGAAATAACTGTGTGAGGTCCCAAGCAGAAGAAGAGGATGAAGACACTTTTGCCCAAGAGAGGCTATTTTTTTTTTAATTAATATTTGGCTTACTTCCAGACGGTCCTTGTATATCTCTCCCTTTCAGTTGAAGATCTTATTACCCAAGGAATCTGCTTAAAATAGACAGAGTCTTATCTTAGAAAACAAACCAGTGAAGACAACAAAGCCATGTTGTCCTATTTAATGAGAAAGTATCAGTTGGCTTCATAGAGAATAAAATTATTTTTATCGGAATTTCTGGATGGGCGTTATCATTATTTTCACTATTTATATTCAGACTACTGTCCTCATTTTTGTTGTTTTTATCACAACGTTTCAACCATTGTTCCCTCTGACCTTCTTCAGATGTATATTGATCTAGGTAACCTATGGGAATTTCCAAACAGACCCCTTTATTTAAACTACAGGGTAGACTGTTCTCATGCCTCTACTCATGTCTAGTTCTTATTTTATTTAGCAATGTTCAGTTAATGGTTGTACATTTCCACTGAGTGCAAGACCAAGGGATTGAACTCACAACCACCAAATTCACAAACTTGTGCTTTTACCTGTTAGGCCATTGTCAAATACACCCAGTCAATGACCTACACAAGCTTGGATCTTTAATAGATTATACTTTGGATTTGTTGATATTACATAAAACAAATCTTTCTTTTTTTTTTTCCAAGAATTTATTCTAAAGGTGAAAGGAACTAAATGATCTGGATAGTTTATACAGATTTTATGATCAAAGACACCAAAAGTTCCTGCAATGTACTTCATTCATTTTCACTTTCGGCAGTGTTCTGGTACAAAGTATTAATACCTGATACACACACACTTTTTATATATATATATATATATATATATATATATATATATATATATATATACACACACAGTAATGCCTTGAGATACAAGTTTAATTTGTTCCAAGATTGAGATCATAACTCAAAACACTCGTATCTCAAATCAATTTTCCCTATTCCCTAAAGGAATTTTGCAAAATAAAAAGCAAAAAGACACAACACATCAGAGATATTTCCAGAGCAAGGGGAATACATGTTCTGTGAGTGGAAATACTCTCGAAGTTTGGCATTCCCTACACCAACTAGCAGAAACTTAACTGAAACTCGCTCGTATCTCAAGGCAAAAAAATTGACTGAATTTCAGTTCAGATCTCAAAAACTCATATGTCAGTACACTCATATCTCAAGACATTATTCTGTGTGTATGTGTATCTGTGTATATATATATATATATATATATTATGGTCGCATGGTGTGTAATGGACAGCAGCTCAGATTGAGGAACCGGAGAGCCAAGTTCGAATTCCAGTCAAGTTAATTGCATTCACTTATGTGCTAAAAACCCTCAGAAAGGTATGAATTCATCTCTTCCCCCCAGCTAGGGGTAAAATAGAAGGATAGACTTGGCACTAGAGACTTGGTTGGCAACCAGTCTAATTTTGAATTTAAATCACCTGCAGTCTCATAGATCCTGCCTCTTTAACTTTTGAGAGGAGAGACTGGATAAACTCAACATCCCCAAGGCAAAAGTAACTGGCAAGCCATTGCATTTTTCTGCCTTGAACCACAATTGTGAGATGCAGGGAGGAAGTGACCACAGCAGCACTAAAATGCACTAACTGAATAAATGATAATATCCGGGCATAATGTTGGAGATTATGAATTATCTTCAGGTGATCGAACTCGTGGAAAACATCTGCTCAAAAGTG